GCGAAAATTTTCTTCTCTATGGCACGGCTAAGGAAATCTGGGATGCTTCCCGTTCTACCTATTCTAGTGCGGACAATACAAGCGAACTATTTGCTGTTGAGACCATTCTTCATGACTTTCGTCAAGGTGATCTCTTCGTCACCCAATACTTCAATACTCTTACTCGGTATTGGCAGCAACTAGATCTATTCGAGATGTACCCTTGGAAGTGTCCCGAAAACTGTCATATTTTTCCAAATCATAGAACAAAAATGCACCTTCAAATTTCTTCTCAGCCTCAAATCTGAGTTTGACCAGACTCGCTCACGGATTTTGAATTCGAAACAATTCATGAAGGCCGAGAAGAGAGCCGCCAAAAGGTCATGTTAGGTGCTTCCTTGTCCAATACAGCCCTCGATGGGTCTGCACTTGCTACCCATATTCCATCCACACGACAACCGCCAACGCCAGGGTCGCCCCTGGTGTGACCACTGCCGTCGTTCTGCCCATACTCGGGATACGTGTTGGCGGATTCATGGCAAACCGGCCAATGGGAAGGCCACTATCGCCGTTCTGGCCATACTCGGGATACGTGTTGGCGGATTCATGGCAAACACGCCAATGGGAAACCCAAACGGGATCATCGGGCAGCTGCCACCAGCACCACTGAAGCCTCTCCAAGAAAGAGTCCATTCAACGAAGAACAGATTCATGCCCTCCAGAAGATGCTCGGTTAGTTGTCACCAGTCCAACCTACTAGTGTGGCATCGGGTGCTACCGGCCTTGTTACTTATCAAGGTATTTCCCCATCCGCTTTCGTCTTGGATTCAACCTCTTCTCGCCCCTGGATTGTTGACTCAGGTGCCTCCGATCATATCACCGGGGATGTCTCCTTATTAATGGATTACCGGCCGTGTAATCAGACCATCACTGTTCGGATTGCCGATGGATCAGCTTCCAAAGTTGCTGGTCTTGGTTCCGTCTTCATCTCTCCAGATTTATTCTTCACTTCTGTGCTTCATGTTCTTACTTTGGATTGCAATCTGATCTCTATTAGTAAGCTCACTCATGATTGTCATTGTGTTGCTAAATTTTTTCCATATATTTGTGAATTTTAGGATTTGAAGTCGGGGAGGATGTTTGACAGTGCTGAGTTGCGCAGTGGTCTCTATTTCCTCAGCAAACCCTTTATCAATCTAGTCTCACCCACCGGGTGTCTTCCAGTATCAAGTCTGTCTTGCTTAAATTCGCTTAGTACATCTGTGTTCCATTCCAGCGTTAATAATGATAGTAAAATTATGTTACTTCATTATCGTTTAGGTAATCCCAACTTTATGTACCTGAGGAAACTGTTTCCTCATTTATTTTTTAATAAAAGTCCTACCTCTTTTAATTGCGAATTTTGTCAACTTGCCAAACACACTCGCACTTCATTTCCTCGATTATCATACAAACTCACTCATCCATTTCCTCTGATCCATAGTGACTTCTGGGGTCCTTCTTTTGAAAAAAATATTTCTGGGGCCCAATGGTTCGTATCCTTTATTGATGATCACACACGGTGACATGGATCTATCTTTTGCGTGACAAATCCGAGGTAGGACCAATATTTCGTGCATTCTATCAATTGATACTCACTCAATTTGACACAAAAATCTTGGCTCTCAAAACAGATAATGCACGAGATTTTTTCAACACCTCTCTAGAAGCTTGTCTTACTCAGCATGACATCTTTCACCTTAGCACGTGTGTTGATACTCTCCAACAAAATGGGTTGCTGAGCGGAACAAATCGTCACTTGTTGGAGGTAGCCCGCTGTCTCCATTTTACCACATTGGTTCCTAAATGTTATTGGGGCGAGGCAACATTGACCGCTGCCTACCTCATAAATCGGATGCCCTCTTGTATTTTGGGTTTCCGTAGTCCAATTGATGTCCTCCTTCGCTCCTTTCCAAATACTTGTACACTCTCTTCAGTTGTCCCTACCAAACTATTTGGTTGCTTCGTCTTTGTTCATATTCACAAACAACACCGCAGTAAATTAGATCACAAATCTGTCAAATGCATATTCATAGGGCATTCGACCAACAAGAAAGGCTACAAGTATTATTGTTCTTCAACTAAAAAAGTCTACAATTCTATGGATGTCACCTTTTTTGAGCATCAATTATACTACCAAGGGTCTGTCATTCAGGGGGAGAGTAGTCGTAGTGAACAACAGCCCTGCGTTCCTTTACCAACTGACACGAGACCCTCACCGACTGTCAGACCTCCTCCATCTCCTATTCAACCTCCTCAGTCTACA